TTTTCCCAAACACTTTTTCTTTTTTTTTTTTTTTTTTTTTTTTTTTTTTTTTTTTTTACTTTTTTTTTAAGCTTTTTTTAAGTGTTATAAACTGCTGCATCTCAGCTGAGGCATTACATAGCTGGTGGAAATGGCCTGGTATAGAGTCAGCATTAATATATTATGTGATGGATCAGTGAAAAAAACAAAACAATTTTCCATTTCCTACTAGTTGTACTTTGGGGTTGCTGCTTCATCACATTCCAACCTGAGCTCCCAGGTCAGATTTACAGCACATTTACTGCAGATAAAGGATTATATCAGCCACATGTTGCATTTTATCATGTCATTAACTTTTTATTTCTTTCCTTCAGAATTTGCTTTACTGCCTGCTACAACAAAGAGTTGTGCAGATGAATAGACCTCAGTGAATCACCTTGGCTTTGCTTTTATTTGTAGGGGCGACTATTTCAAGGTATTTTATTACAAAACAAAAAGTGTAGAAAACAAGAAGAGGTACAAGGCATCTTGTGTTAATCATTATGGGACATGTGATATCGATGCAGTTTAGTTGTGAATTAATAATAGAAAATACATCTGGGATAGTCACTTTCAAGTGCAGACCAATTTGTTCAAAGATCTTTGGTTACTATCTCTCAATGATGGAGTAACTTTCAAAGACAAAATATAAAGCAATCTTCATCTGCAAAAACCATTTTCTGGGTTTTCACATTCAAATCAGTTGTTGGAAACAAACTGCAAAGTTACTTTGATAGCTCTGCTTGGCCCCTGTTTTTCTAGTGGAGGAAAGGCAGAAAGGAACAACCAGTTAATAATTTTGCCTTTCCCGATGCTCTCTGGGATTTTCAGTTTTATTCAAATGCAGAACAGCTGAGGATTTCTCTGCTTCTCTCTCCATAATGCTCACTGACTGTGGGACTGAGTGCAATGAATCAGCAAATAAGAATTTTCTGACAGGTACACTCTCAAGCACAAAACAAGATACTGGGCTGGTACGTTCTTCATACACTCATCACTCCGAACAGTTTGAAAAACAGCCAGCCAACCAACCTTGCATTTCGCAACTTTCAACTTGTAGTTTTATTTTGTTTAGCAATGCTGAGGAGGTGCTTTCTCAGCTGAGATTCTACTGCAACTGCTGGTGAGTATAGAGCTAGTTTTCCTTGAAGAAGGCTGACCAAAACACAGGCTTTCATTGCTTTTGTCAGGGCACAAAACTCTTCCTAATGCCAATAACCAAGAATTACAAACTGGACTCCAAATATATATTATTGGATGTTTCTTGGTTCAGTTCAACAAGCTTAAAATAGTAATTCTTTTCTTTTGTATTTTTTCTCTTTGTTTTCCAATCCATTGCTGTGTTGGAATTCAACAAAGGCTAACACAAAATTAAATTATAGAAAAAATGTTTCAGAAAAGAACAACAATCTCCTATGAATACTTTAACATGCACTAGTGTAACCTGTAAGAGAAAATACGCAGGTCACACAGACAACTGTATCCTCTGCATGACACCATGGCCTCATATAAATGAAACATGTTAGAAAAAACTCATGGTTTTTGTTAACCACTAGTAATTAAGAAGAAATTCCTCCTTTGGTCTTGGAGGAAACAGAGGTCATATGACTAATGTATATACACATAGGTCACAATCGAATGCACAATCTTTCTAAAAGCTCTTTTCAAACTGAAAACATCAATAAAAGCTGCTTCTTTTTTTGTTTGTTTTTAAACTCACAGCTATGTACATTTTTACAAAGTTTCTTTAAATATAGTTCAGGCTGGCAAGTCATCTCTTTGCACAGAACTATACGTATTTTACTGCATAGTCAGTCCTCCTCTTTTTTTTTTTTTTCATTTTTGTTTTTAATAATAAAATTCTATTTTCCCCATCTGAATTACAGCTTCGTATGCTGGGTAAAAGCCCATGATGATGTCTTTGTTTTATCAACGGCCATGGTATGGCACATAAAGAATCTTTTTTATAATTTTATTTATTTAAAAAAAAACAAAACAAAACACCTGTACAGTCACTGGCTCTGTGTTCCAGAAGACTCTGCTTTGCTTGTTACACTTACAACACCATTTTAAATTACTTCTTCTGGCCTCAACTTTCAATCAAAGTGGCTGAGATCTTAAAGCAGTATTGTAACAGCAATGTACACTTTTCACATTTCACAGGGTTTGTAGTTGATCTTTAACATCAGCGAGTTTCTGTGGGAAGGATCAGTAAGAAAATAATGACTGTCCTTCTTTTTTACTTATTTTTACTTTAGATTTTGACAAGGTGTTCAATGGATGGTATATAACTTTTTCCTCTTCTTTTTTTTTTTTTTTTTCTTTTTTCTTTCTTCCAAGTGGCTTGTGAGGGTAGATGGGGAAGGGCTGAGCTATACCCTAGTGGTCGAATGTCCATGGGGCAAATTTGTACTGTTTTGTCCTCCACTGAAAGTGTTGAAAGTATGCAAAGGCTGCATTCCTGTTAATGTATTTGGAATCATGGTTATGGTGTTGGGTGTCATTAGCGGGATGTCATCTGGAGACCTTCTCAAAGTGAGCGTGTAGTCAGGCGGACAGGTGAGTCTCAGTGTGTCGTGGGCCTGCAGCGATTCACACTCATGGTCATGTTCTAGCTGCTTCATCTGCAAGGACATGATCTCCTCATTTTGTATGTGTGCTATGTCATTGGTGGTGTTCCTCTGGGGGCTGGGGCGCCTGTGAGTCTCATGACGCCGTTTGTCCTTCTTGTAATACAACGCAGCAAAAGCTAAAATATTGAGGAACAGCAAGGAGGCCCCCACAGCAATGGTGACACTCAGCTCTGTGGAGTAATCCCTCTTATTTTCTATCAGAACTGTCGTATCCTCTGGAGCTGTTTTATGGGTGTCTTTCGAATGTTTGGGATTGTTGGCAGGTGTCATTGCTGGGCGTTTGGTGGCTGGCCATAATTTACCAGGAGAACGTCGGGTCACGTACGGAAATGAGGTCATGTCAGGAGGGGGGACTTTAGTTGTTGTGGAAACATACTGAAATATTTCATTCAGGTTGTGAAGGTGTGGTACGAGCTCCAACCAGAAAGCAACTTTGGTTGCTCGATAGTGATCACGCACTCGGGGTTTCAGGCCAATATGTAAATAAAGTTGGTCTTTCGGATTGTATTTGGACCAGGCCACTTCTTCAAAGCGGTTGGGTTTTGTGTGGATGAACTTTGTGTCTTGTGGAACAGGCTGGTTTGGATCTCTAAAAAAAAAAAAAAAGAAAACAGACAATATTACAGTCATTAACATTTCCACAAAAAAACCTACAACAAAACAAAAGCAAACAAACATGAAACTGTCTCAGTCTTACAGTTAATAGTTTATCCAATATTTACAGTAACCTAAAAGCAGAAGATAAAAACCCTCCCTAACAGAAGAATAGCTGTTAATAAATAATCAAAATAAAATTAATTACTGTACAGAGCATCTCAGATACTACAATATTTTTTTATATGAAAATGCAGAAATCATAGTGTTTCAGTTACCAAAAGGTCATCTGAAGTTCTGTGATTCAATGCCATTCTCCAAGGAGTGTGTCTTAGAGACATACCATCTTAGAGAAGTACCAACTGCCTCTTCCCACAGTAAATGTGTAGGTTCAACCCTTCTCCAGGCTTGACACTAACTTTCTCATTTAAGGTACCACTACTTCCACTGCTGTAAGTAGTAAATATGGGCATATAAACCCCATGGCAATATTGGAAGTCCTTCTGAACACACAAAATGTACAACTTGTACAAGGAAAAAAAACCTCTTCAAAACCTGAAGTACCAGGGCTAATACATGTACCTGGGAACCATTTCTGCTTGTTTTTTTTTTTTTAATTGAGCTATTAGTCCTCCTGCATTTAAATATCTACTTGGGGAAAAAAACCTTTGAACTACCTTTGTATCACAAATCTTTCCATCATTTCCTCTAACATGTGACTATTTGAACATTCCATGTGATCATTGCTATGAAGTACTGTGTTTGGTGGCCAAAGGACAATGGGCCTTAACTGAGATGAGAAATATTTTAGCTGAGATCAACCAGTTTTAAAGTACTTCAATAATAGTAAGACAAGAGTAGTACACAAGTCAGAGATAATTTCAAAATTGGTAAACCAATTTATTTTTTTCTTACAGGTTCAGAATAAGGACAAACAAACACCAAAAAGAGCATTTAGGCGTGCTTAATTTATGCATGTCCTTATTATTTTAAATTTAAATACATAGCATGAAAAAAATACAGAAAGTTAAAATTACTTTTACAATACTAAGTTTAATAGTAGGTTGCACATTAATTTGAATCATTTTCTCTACCAATGATTGTTTTCTGTGACTTTGTGATGTATTAGACTGAGAGTATATTATTCATTTCCTGTGCATTACTCAGAACTTTCCATTCTCCTTGTTATTCATCTATATGCATTGGCTTATTTCCTGTGAAAACAATTCTAATATTTTTCTTTTCTTCCAATATACAGTTATGTATATTCTGGGAATACCAAACCACATCCCTACAGATTTTAAAGTATGTTTCTTCGTTTTCCATTTTCAAAAGCCCATGGAACTAATAGCCTACTTTAGCAGGCTATGTACAGGAAGAGCTATTTCTTAGTTCCTAAATGAGACAAGTAATTTGACTTTAATAATCCTATGATTCCTGTATTCTTTTCTACCTGAAATAAGGTATCTTACCTGTTTTTTTGAGAAAAGAAGAATTAACTTCTATATATTTTTGGTATTTTGGCTTACTTATGCTTGTGGTTTTAGTGCATGGGGTTTTTTGGAGTGGTTTAGTGTGTGGATTTTTTTTTTTTTTTTTGTAATATTGAAATATATCTCATCCTTCCCGGTGGTTTAGTGTGTGGATTTTTTTTTTTTTTAATACTGAAATATATCTCATCCTTCCCATTTCAATAGGATATAAAAAATACAAACTAGGGGTTCTGAAATGTTACGATTTCTTTTCTTTCTTTCTTTCTTTGCTTTTCTTTTTCTTTCTTTTTCTTTCTTCCTTTTTCTCCCTCCCCCTCTTCTCTCTTTCAACAGTTAGCCAAATGTTAGTGTGTGTTAGTCTGTGTTAGTTCAGAAAAAAAAAAAAAAGACAATTTACTGGTAATTGTTCATCCCAGATCAAACTAAAGAAGTAATATTCCCTTCCAAGCAGTACAGAAACAGATGTATGCTGCTGCTTTGGGGTAGTCTAACATGCGCTGAAGAAGGAAATAAAGCTATTTATTTTATTAAAGAAAAAACTGAAAGATCTGGAAAATCTAAACACAAAAATATTGGCCCAATTCAGTATAACTACTTTGAAAAAACTTTGGGGTTCAAAATATAAATTCTAAAGCAAATTAAAAATCAACAAGGTTATCTAAATGCAAAACACTTTTCTTCTCAGAAACTCAAAATACTGCAAGATTTCTAGCACACAATCTTGTGTCATCCCCCTTGCTGTTCTGATTCACATCCCAAAAGACTCTGGGAATGGTCCTAGAGAGAACTGATTCCTTAAGTTAGCTTTTGTAAAAAAGTTGCAGTTGATACATGGTACAGGAGATCAAGAAGCTGAGAAATCAATTCACTTTAAAAGCAGCAAGTTGGACATGCACTTTTAAAATTTTTAGTGGTCCTATAAAAATTATTATTATCATCATAGATGATGATTATTTTAGCAAATAACATTTTTATAAAATTAGCATTCTCACTGTGGTCCCTTCCAACCTTACAAATTTTGTATCCTGTGATTCCCTTTCTCTACAAAAAGCCTGCAAAACAAGTAAATATCAGCCTCCTTTTTCCTCTCTTCCATCCTCTACTTCCATCTGTCATTTTTAACTATATTTATTGGGAGCAGACAATTATGCTGCCGCCTCCTCCAAACACAAGAGAGAAAATAACATTACATGAGCCTGGGCTTGTATTTGAATATTTGTTTACATGGCTCTGTGTGGGCATGAAGTTGTCAATTGAAACAAGAAACAGAAAAAAATTAACCATCCCTACAGACAAGTAATTCCTTTGCTGAGGATATCAGAGCTCTGCCATTGACATCAACTCCAGGGCTGATCACTTAAAAAAATTAATGAAATGGTTTGAATAGTCTCTCTGAATTTGGAAGATAGATACCTAAATTATGTTGGGTTTTTTTTACAAGAAACAGGAATAACTAAGTCCAGTCCTAAATAAAGGATCTAATAATGGCCTTGGATCTTGGTTTTATAGACTAATGATTATTTGCCAAAAATATTCAGTAGATATAAACACGAGAGTTTTTATTTCCCTTGGCCATCTTGCTATGCACACTGCAGAAAATTCATGAAGTTACAACTTATGACTTGTTTTTTCCTGGGATAGTTGGTCAGCTTATCTTACTATGAACCATTTTCCTGTTTTATTGGTAGGCATAAAACATAGATGTACAATCATTTCTCCTATAAAATCATCCGTTCAACAAAATTCTTGATCTGTTACTTTAATTTCAAATTTTCCCCTGCCTTTAAGACTCTCACAATTCCTTTGTGTTTCTTGATGTTCTTGAGGCTCAAGTGTGTAATTTCATAACAAAGACTGCCAGGAAAACTTTCTTTAAAAATCCACTGCAATCGTGATGATAACAGTATAATCTGAACAATATATTTCCAGTTCTATACTTCTTACAGTATTGGCTCTCATGGGGAGGAGTTTTCTTGTTTCTCCATTTGTCAGTTGGGAGGGAGTCTTTTTCTTTTCTTCACCCAACTACTATAACAAGATTGATGATTATTGTTATTTATTTTTCTATCTCATTACTTATTTTTACCACCTTTAGAATTCAAACAGCTTATACATCAAAAAATGTCTCCATCATGAAATGCCAGAGTTTTTTTTTCCATATGACAGAACACCATATCTTCTCTAAGGTATATTTTTGTTAATGTGCAGAATAATCCCATTTCACCTGTCACCTTTTTCCTCTCACTTTCAGTCTGCACTAATTTTGTACAACTTAAGATGTTTTTGTATATTGTCATTCAATTCACACCTCATGAGCTAGAGACGTAAAATCAAAACATCAATTTTTTCTCAGTTGATATTAAGTAAATATGCCTGCAATGGATGTGAACTGAAGAACAACACAGACTCCTGTTCACGAGGTAGATTAGTAGCTGACCTGGAGGGTAGATGAAGGAACTGGGTATTTCATATCTGATTGTATTTTCTTGGGAAGAATAGTGAATTAAGAAGTTTCTCATATCCCAAATTCCTTGTAAGATGGTGAAACACCATTTGTGTTGTAACTATTTCTGCCACAGCGTTGACTGTCACTCAGGACAGTGGAACTGTTACATTAATGTATTTGAAATGTTTTAAATTTTGTGTTTTTCTCTGTCTTCACTGGAGAGCAAAAAGTCTCCACAGTTCCATAATCTGTGTCTCCAACCTTATGAAAGGCCCCTAGATACTTTATTTTCTTTCAGTAGTACTCTTTTCTCTGTATGATAAAAAAAATGGAAGAGACAGAAAACCTGACTTTTCTTTATTCTTCTGTTTCTTTTCACACTGTCACAACACTAATAATGCCACAGCCATTCCTGCTTGAAGGACTGGTAAACAGGCATGTTTTCCCTTACCTCCTCTCCTCAATTATCACCAGGTCCCACTGTTGCCATGCTCCCTGTCAGCTAAGGACTAACAGCTAAGGACTCCTTATAAGAGCTAAGGAACACAAACCATAACTACACTATTTTGTTTTGCCATTGGAGACAGTTATTTCTTCAGATGAAAACATCAAAAAGAAATGCAACAGCCTCATAAAAGACTCGCCTGAGAATTGATTTGAAACTACACCTTAATAATTGCAAGTTTAATCAGGTCTTCCATTAGAGAACTAAACTGCATACAAAACACAGACATTTTTAATAACTCAGGTCTGTGCTTCAGAATTAATGATACCAAAATAATACTGTAGTACTGACCTAAAATACAAAGAAAACAAGGTTATATCCTCTAGATCTTTATCTTTCCCAATACCAACACAGGTAGAGCTGAATGAACAGGAGAAAAAGTAGAATGCTGTAATTCCTCAAAACCAGGGCAAATTTTAGAAACCTAATAGATGTCTCTAATGAGAGTATGGCTTTGTATCTACTGTGTGAAACTTCAAATCCTTTACACGAGCATAGCTGGCAGAGTATCTATGAAGGACTGGCACACAACCCCTCATGCTGTTCACTCTTCCCCTGCTGATGTGTCTGCAGAGGAGGTAACATGGTTCTAACAAACAGAATTTGGCATATAAAACTGCCATTACAGTTAGGATGGCACTACTGGCAGCAGACTGAAGCTCCAAATGCACCTCTTAATGAAGCTCTCACATATAATTCTGTGCACTGAGGAGTTCAAAACTGTATTTTCATGTCATTTTTGTATCCCAATCTCAGACTTACTCTGTAATAAATTGTTTTCCTATTTCTAAGGCATTTTGGAAACACAGTTTTGAAAAGGCCAAATGAAAAACTTAAAAAAAATCCCCATCAAAACAAAAAAAAAAAAAAAAAAAAGAGTCATAGGTAGAGGATTAGCAAAATTCAGCTTCCAGGCATTCATTTTAAGCACAAACTATTTGCCATTAAACACTTTGTCACCTCCTATTTGCTAGTTTCAGTAACCAACTTCCAAGTTAAATACAATAAAAGCACTGTGCCCTGTGTTGTGTCTTTCACCTACTGATTTTACAAGATTGACCTGCCCTGCAAACCCAGCCTTGGCAGTAAGCCCATTAAACAGTGTGTGCTTTCTAGCAATGGATGGCCTGTCATTAAATGCCCAGCAAAGTCCATCTGAATGATGCACCATCTGAGCCACAATTTCACAAGTACCTGGATGCAGCCTCTGTGGGAGAGTCATAGAGATTGGAAAAGTCTCAAACACATTAAAAATAAATCAACATATCTGCAGTTCTAATGTTCAATGCTTACCAACAGGGAAATGTGAGTTAATGAAATCTTTCCGTTAAAAGATTTTTTATGTGTTGCCATGGGTACAAAGCAAGACAAGAACTATCATAATAAGGATGGGAAATTATTAGTTAAAAATAGGGCGGGGAAAAAGCCAAAGCAGAGCCCCCAGCAATGCAGTTTTGAAGTGTTTCACTCATCTTGAGAGTTGAAGGACCTGAGTGGGTACAGAGATTTCAGATTCCAAGTGAATGAGCAGAGTGGAGAAGTTACCCCAGAGATCCCATTGCTCTAGGCTTGAGGTGCTGCAACCTTTGGCTTCCTGTTTGAGGAACCAGAGGTGCAGAACAAATGTAATCTTAAAATATTATTTGCCCCCAAGTATTCTGTATGATGCAGAACAATTAATCATTGTTCATCCAAACAAAGAAAAGACCCCATCAAGGTAATATGCATTGTGTTGCTCTTTTCCTTTCCTTTGAAAACTGAAATTTTACAGCTAGAGGCCATTGCTAATGATACATCTTTCAGACTGCCTGTAAGGGAGTGAGTCTGTAATAGAATATATACCCCATTCCTGTCTCATCAGCAATGGGAATTTCATCAGAAATTACTAATGGCTCTCTCAAAGCACCTGTTTTTGCCTTTAGGTATAGTATGACAATGGCTTTATAACCAGAGAACTGGGTATAGCCTGCTGAAATTAGTTTTCAAGCAGCTACAGCTGGAAAGTGCTTGAAATGATGAGTAATGGTGGCAGCTGAAATTGTGAGAAGCTCCTGTCAGCCTCAAAAACTGCTTAAATGCAACTTTTTAATATACAGAGAATAGTAATAAAGTAATTGTAAACAATAGTGAGACCATGGAGATCTTTCATCTCCATAATAATTCCAATGAGGCATATTTGTAAGGATCTGAAGTCCTCTATGTATACATAGCATTTCATCTACCAAAATAAAGACAAACTTATGGTATCATCATCTCTGAGCATGTGGTACAGCCATCATGCAGCATTGTCTGTCCCTAAACCAAAAGCTCATCACAAAGTTTGCCCGTCCCAGTACTGATAACTTCTTGTTGCCAAATACATCTAAATAGTACACAGTTCATTCATTTTTGTTGCTGAACTCCAGGATTTCTGCATGCTTTTGTACCTGTTTGTCTGATATGCAGTACAACAAAGAATTTTTTTTCTTGTGCATTGACCTGAAGGATTTGATTGGTTTTTACTCAATTTATGCTTGAAGTTCTTGTAAAGACTGCAAAATCTCTCTCTCAACCACCATTTAGATTCATGGAAGGCTACAAGGGCAGCTAAAGCCTCTGAGAGTTTCACAATAGGCATCTGAGTTTTCCTTGTATAGCTGCACACTGTTCACTGCAGTGCAGTAAAGCTGCAGTTTCCAGAGCCCAATCCTGCCATTAAACATTCAGTGGAAAGATTTACAGCCCCTTTGTGCCACAAGTATCTTTGTTTTAATTCAGAACTGAAGACTCAAGGTTAACAAAAAAAAGCCCTTGCCACTGAAGAAAAACACTGCAATACTGTTTAAATGAATGTTATAGGAAGAAAACAGAATTTATTAATATTGCTCACAGATTAAGCTGCTTTGAGGGTTGTTTCCTTGGTGTTTACAACTCTATTTCATCAAAATATTGATGTCTTTATTTTGTTTTGCAAGCAGAATTAATTTAATTTTTTAACTTTCTCAAAGCAAAATTTATATCTGAGTCTCTTCTTCATTCCAGTCAAGTACTTATTATTGCCATTATAGCCCTCAAAGGGAAAAAAATTTCCAGTGCCTGCCTTTCTGTTCTAATTCCTCCCTGAGTCCTCATCCCTGTGAAGGTCACTGAAAAACAAGAACTTCCTTTCTTTTGTAGCTGATAAGTGCTATCTGCCTGGCAGTTCCTTCTTCAAGTAGCAGACATGTTGCCTCTGATTTTTCAGTATCTTAGTGAACCACCTTTTCTCTGAGACATGCTTTTTGTCTTAGTAATTGTCCTATTTATTGAACCAAAAATACAGTGTGTTATTATTCTCATTGAGCTACTGAAAGAAAATAGTTGGAGGGAACACACTAATTAAAAATCTATTAAATATGAATAAGCCTCATTTACTTCCTATCTTAACACAAATATTTCTATACTACTACTTCAAAGTCAGATTTTGAGGCCACTGGAATGGGATACTGACTATTTTAGAAGTATGCCATCAATAAAATGAATGCTAGGGGTCACACTTACCCAGTTTTGGCAAAGTTAGTCCAGTATGTCATAACCACTGCACTGAGCATGACATCATTCTTGGAAAAGTTGCAGTTGAACAGTTCTGTGGGACCAATCATAGGAATCCCAAACACATAAGGGACTTCATCACCATGAGCTGAATCAGCCCAGCTGGGTTTCATTTCACTTTGGCAATGGTGATAAAATGCATAGAAATATGTTGGAGATCCATACTGGGCATGCAGGTCAGCCGTCGCAACAGCTGGAGCAACCCACTGGTGGTCTGTAAAAAGAGCAACCAGGGTCTTCCGTCTTGTTTCAGGATTTTCTTTATCTGCCCAGTCAGTGTACATGAATTTAATAGTCTCTCGCAGTGTGTCCTTCCCTTCTGGATAACCGTATAGATTGTCCACAAAATTGGAGACAGAAAAGTCAAAATCATTGGGAGAAACACCGTCTTCATTGTCTACAATGCCATCCACAAATTTCAAACCTTCCCCTTGATTCACACCCAGCATTATATCATAGTTAAGGAATTCCCCTTGCTCCATTAGAATCTGAGGGTCATCTGGAATCACGTCTCCATCTATCACAGGCCCAAAGGCAATGTGGTACGTGGCTGGAGTGATAGTCTGTTGAATGAGTTCTTTGTAATTCTTATTCCGCAGACATTCAACCAAATCAGTGGTATCCAGCATGTCGCAGCCCACTTTATCTGCCAATATCCGAGTGTACTTGGCAGGCTGATAGTTCACTGCCCAGCTGGACAGGGCTGTTCCACTCTGTATGATTGCCTTTTGGAACAAACCTGCAGGTGCAAATTGTTTAAATACAGATCCAATTAGATATTAAAAAAAAAAAATATATATATATATATCTTTTAAAAAAGGAAAAGTATTTCTTACTAAGGAAGCAAAGCTTTGATTATAGAATCCCTAAAGGATGCATACAATGAAATTTGGAATCAATTTCCATAGATCCTACTCACTGTTCCCTTTTTATGCTATGTAGAATGGGCTACTAATTAAAATCTCTCATGTTCTTGATGCTCACACAAAAAAAGCATGAAGGTTTCAGGTTACTGTTTCAAGAACAAAGCTCATTCCTGTACTGCAGTTTTCTTGTGCCTTTGATGGAAGTCCTCTGGCTTTACCACATTGGTAGTCCTCTGAAAATTTCTTTGAAGGACTGGCAGCTAAAGGCACTCATATGCTCTTTGCCATGTAAATGACACTCACAAATGCGCCTTTCAGTAGTTTAAAGGTCAAATGAAAATTAGATGTTCTCGTTTCCTTCACAAAAGCCATGCATCATACTAACTTGAAAAAATTTGCTCTATTAAAGCAATTTCATATGTTTGAATCTTCTATTCTGATATTTTTTATTTACCATTTAATTTTTAAATTATTATTGCGTGTATAGGTTAGCACTGCCTATATGTTGAAGTGTGTGTGTTGAAGTGTGTGTGTGTGTCCAATCCTGCTTATATGTTGAATTAAAATGTATTTAAATGGTTTTGCAAGAGAGTAAGATGATATTCAATGGCTCTTTCTGGTTGTTTTATTTACACTAATATAAAGAAAAATTAAAACCCAATCTGAAGAGCTCCTTTGCTTAAAGCACTAAAAGGCAAGGGGAGCTTACTGGTGAATCTGCTCCATCGGTGTTTTTTTTTCTAGCAAGACCACTAAAATGGCCTATTTTATATTTAAACTGAAATACTTGGGTGTCTTCTGCACATGATTTCTACCATCATGTTCTCAAAATGCAAAAGACAGTAAAAGCTAGAAAAGCATGTGGGGTTTTTGTTTATGTACCTTTGAGGATGATAACTGAATGCACAGACAAAAAAATTCAATTATTTCATCAGTTAAGTTTTTCATGCTTCCATCTGCTTGATTTTGGCATGGCTTGCTCAACAGTTATTCACTGAAATTTTATTTGTATTAATAGACTGAATTGTCAAGCATAACTATGCATTTCAAAATTAGGTGTGTTTTCCAGCCTCCCTGCTATAACTTCTGGCTATAGCTTATCTGTTACAAATTTCTGTCTGTTTTATTTCTGTGATAGAAATGGCATGGATTAATAAATACAGTATATATCTTGGTGTTGTCTTTTATCAAGTCTTTGTATATTTGGTCTTATGACCAGGCATATTTATAGTTCAGTACTGATGCTGTACATTTTTGGAGTTTGGGTTTGGGTTTTTTTGCAGGGTGAGGTGCTGAAGGTAGAAATCCCACAGCTCACTTACCAAAATCTAAAGAACATTGTGTGGGATCACACAGTACTTCTGGGGAGTTAAACACAGTTTTTTAATAAGGCTTAGTTATGTTTTTACTAAGTAAGGAAAACATCTACATATATGTTGGAAGTGCAGCCAAGAGTGTACAAAAAATCAAAAAGGTCATTGCTCTTTTCCATTTTAATTAGGACAAATTCTTTGATAGAAGAGCCAGTGGAATCTGTTGAAAAAGCTAGAAAAAGTGTATTGCCCATGGCATTTGTTGCATGAGATTTATGCTGTAATTTAGTTTTTAGTTTTCCTTATAAACATATTTATGTTGACTAATACAAATCCAGAATTCTATTTAGTAGGTATTTTACAAAAATTACAGACCTCATGTAATTCTAATTTAGCTTACCTCATTTTGTGCTTTCATTACACTCGTTTCCTTCACACAAAACAAAAAAAAACAAAAAAAAAAAACCCAAAAAAAAAAAAAACCAAAAAAAAAAAAAAAAAAAAAAAAAGAAAAAGAAAAAAAAGTACTTTGCCTGGAGGATTGTTACCTTCTGAATAGTGGGAGAGTGTCAGGAGACTGACACAGGAAGCTCCTGCCCCAGATCCAAAAATAGTAACTCTCTTCGGGTCTCCTCCAAAAGATCCAATATTTTCTTCAATCCAACGTAAAGCTTGGATTTGGTCAAGCAATCCATAATTGCCTTTTGCAGCTTGGTCCCCAGTACTTAAAAAACCTATAAGGCAAAACCCCATAATTTTAGTTCACCAGATACAGAGTTAGCTACAGGGTATCTACATATTCACAACACATCTTCCCATCTTTTCATCTTCTGTGCTTTTTCTTTTTTTTCTTCTTTTTAAAGGTCACAGTCCTAGTTAAATGTCTCCTGAGCAAGCAGAGAAATCTCATTCTGTGTGCTGTTTAGCTTGAGTTTGTTTTTCCCTACTTCAGAGATCCCATTTATGAAGAAGTGCTGTTTCTTTATTTAAATATTTCTGTAACAATGCAACAGTAGAGAAAGACAATTTTAAACATTTTATAACTGGATGTGAGTTGGGTACAAAATCTTAGGAAATAATTTTTGGGCAAAGATGTGAGATAGCCAGTCTATGACTGAGAACAACTCTCTCTAACACATTAATATAAATACTTCTCACCAAAATTGTCCTGAGCTACATAGCTCTTTAATTTTCTGTACTTGTGATATGGATAAATGTACTCCAAAACAGAAAAAACAAGGCTGAAGTAAATATAAAAAGAAACATGAAAAACCCTAGGAAAAAAAAAATTACACTTCAATTTCAAAGAGGATATTTATTAGGAAGATAGCAGGTAAATCCATGGCAATATTGCCTTTGGTGGGGAGATTTTATCTGAACAAATCAGGTCTTGTCTTTCTCTTTGGAAATTGCAAGAAAACCTGTGCTGCTGTTTTTTGTTCCTATACTGTGGTTATCAGATTCTAGAAAAAAAGCATGACATGTTTGCTGCTTGTCTTGCAACTGAGAACAAAATGACCATAAGATTAGGACCGAGGTTAATTTTGGTTTTTTGAAACCAGCTAAGGTGAAACATTGACGTTATCCCTGCTGTGTTATCATTCACAGTTAAGTCCTTGTGCTATGTCCATATTACCACATTGAGCCATGTACTCACAGTCCTCTCTTTAACTTCCACAGACCTTTTCCTGTTAGACAACTGCAAAGTCAGAGGTCTATTAGAAATACCTTACAGCATATGGAAGTTTTCAGATGGACATTACTGATTTAGGCACCAGTGACGGCTGTCGAAGACAAAACAAGGACATTGCTTGGCAGGTTTTTTCCAGCTAATTATCAGTTGAGAAAAATTTGCTAGAATGGGGGCCCAGGACACAGGAAATCTATGGTGTGGAAATGAAAGTGTGTGTTATCATAAACCATGTGAGCCTGCTGTAACAACACCTCCATGCTCCTGGCTGGAAGGTGAGTCTTAGGTCCCTACGGGAAAAAACACTTTGCAGTACATTTCCCAGGCTTTGGTAAAAGGGAACAGATCTCTGCACTGGCTGTAATAATTTTTTTGTTTGTAGGAAAAATGAAAATACACATTATGGAAGGTATTTACATAATGGAGGAAGCAGAATACAAATCATATCCATATTGCTAAATAACATGATAAAGCTTTTTCATTTAAAAAGTCTCTACTAATGGAAAGCACAGTCATAAGAATGGCAGCAACCTTTTTTTTTTCTCTTCTGTGCAAATGGAGAAAAAATAAACACTCTTAATCCACAATTGTCTCTATTTTTTTAACAGATGTGTTTTTCTCTTTTTTCACATGCTTTTATAATCTTTATAAGTCTCTCAAAGAAAGAATAACCCACTTGCTGGCTTTGTTGCTGTAGCTCACTGGAATATTCTATAATACTTTATAATTAAGGCTTTATTCAATCAGAACTATGACATTCATTGGATAAAGCGAGTGTTGTAACCTTTAAAGCAAGATGTTAATTAATATTCAGAGCCTAAACCTGTTTTAGTTATACTAGCAGCATCAAACTAAAGCTGTTTGAACTTCTTAATTTTGAATGCTTACCAAATGTTCTAAAAGGTGAACTTGATAAAACTGCAGTCAATGAATATCTAATGTTCAAAAGACGAAGATTTTTTTTTTTTGTTTCCACAGTTGTCTGCTGATTCTCATTAATTGCAAGAACAAGTTTTCTTAATTTAAAAACTAATCACCATGGTAAGGAGTCAGCCCCACATTACACAAACTGAATTCATAAATCTGTCTTTTCTTGCCAAGGCTATATTTTCTTTCATGCTCTGAGTACCAGATCAAAATATTTTTTCAAAGCTATTTGAAGAAATTCAGGCAAATAGTAACTATTTGTCCAGAAATACACAACACTAAGAGTTTTTTGGGTTTTTTCTATATTATTTCAGCGAAGAGAAAAAAAAATGCTTCTTTAAACTGAAGTTCCTGAAATAACTGTTATTTTTCTCTGACTCTATGAAGGAAAGCATTCAAGAAAAATTATTTCATTTTAAACTACTAGATAGAAATAGTCAAGGAGAAAAAGATTGCAAATGGAAATTGCTGGGAATTTTCCTTTTCTATACCCTTTAAAATGCATGTACTCAAAAGCTACATGCTGTCACTTGCACTGTTTTGATAACACAGTGAATACACAAAGCTACACACAAGGCTCCCTTAGATCCCACATAGACAAAAAGAAATCCCTAGCTCTATCTTTAGGGTTGGTTTTCCCATATGCTACAGAAATCTTACTGAGATACTAAGCCCCCACATACTAGTGGTGATATTTCCCCATTACTACTAAAACATTATGCAGAGACCCACTGGAACGCTGCATAGAGTAGTAGAAGAGAAAAATATAGTGGAAGAGAAAAATATCCATAAATCCACTCCAAAGAATTTAATTTTCTTCAGCTCCAGCCTTGTCTAGTGGTTTGAGGCCACCCCCACACATCCCTAGTATGGCTGGCAGACCTTCAAGAGTCAGTCTAAAGAGAATGGGTAGACCGCCCCTCCACTGTACACATTTCATGTACTTTAGTTTACCATGATCAAGCTATTGTCTGGCCCATGGGCTGAATAATTGACTTCTCATGGACACAGTGCATAAGGGGCAGGACATCTTCCAGCTGAGGCTCACCTGGAAGGGCTCAAGTTGTAAGAAACTCTCTGCAATGTGAAACAATATGCAAGGAGTGGTGACAGTACTGAGGTTTTCTGTGGAAATATACTCTTGATCTGAATTAAATAATGAAAGATTAAACTTGATTCTATCATGAATTTTACTAGGTACTACAATCAGTTGTAAAAGTATATCTTGGAATGGAACATACTTTTCTTTGTAAATTAAGTAAATTAAACTTTTCCTTCAACTTCTGCCCTTCACAGGTTTTCTTAAAAACAAAATGTTGAAGTTCTGTGACACAGCCTTCAGACAAAAAATAAAGCCAAACTTAGTAAGAAACATTAAACAGCCAAGATGTCACAACGAGAAATTAATCACCAGGAAATCTGTAGAAAATCAACAAGTTAGTGCATTTTGATCTATTTAAGTCCTTTTCTTAAGCCTCTGCTTCATTTTCAGAGTTCACATTTCTTTTGTCTTTATGCCTTTTCATGACTGCTGTCCAATAGCCTGCTGCAGTTTGTTTGTCAGGCAACATACAAAGATTGATTTGTATAGCAACTGATCAGAATTATGACATAAGCAATACAAATAAGATACTGGAGACTGTGCTTTTGAGAACAATCATGTATTTTTTGTTTACATTTGTGAAATACCACAGTAGGGCCTTTTCAAAGCAAATGGCAAGCATACAGCTGAGCCTTCTTATTTTCTAATAGATTTTGTCTGTACCTATCATATTTACTACTGTAAAAGTGGACCAGTTCAAATGCCAAGTAAAATTCACTGGGGATTATTGAGAACATAGAGACTACAGCTGGTTCAGGAAGACCCTGAAATATAAATAGTTGGAGAATAGAGAAGCATTAGAGGGAATTATCATATAAGTTTGTCCTATGCTTGCCCTTCCCTAACCATTCCCAAACATCCCCTCCCCAATAGTGGCCAGGATGTTTGGCTGGATGATATCTTGGTTGGAATCAATATAACTATATATTTTTTGGGTTTTTTTTGACTCTATGTCTATTAACAGTACAATGTAAACATTACTGAAAAGCTGATGGAACGCAAGATAGAGTGATGGCATCCTTGCCACAGGTTTAGCAGAAAAAAACCCCAAAGTCCTGCAGCATGACTGCCCTATGCAAAGCTGAGTAAGCATCATAGCTGCACCTGAAATTTCTACCTAAAGGGTAAAACAAATGAGAGGACTGTGGACTGGCTATGTATGGTCTGTGCAGAAATAATGTTACACAGAGACTTCTTCGTCCTGAAAACAAAACCACAATGCCTTTCCTTCACCTGCAGATTATTTTGAAATTTGCAGGTGCCCTGTCAAAGCAAACGTTTTAATATTCAGAAACTTGAGAAGTAGGATAGTGTGTGATTCTGAAGCAGCGATCACAAAAGCGAATTTCTGCATGCTATGGCTCTTTACCATATCCAGCTGCAAATAACACTCATTTAAATTTTAACTCAGATTACGGTAAATGAAGAAAAACAAGCACTGAAGATAACTCAGCTTACAGTTTTTATATAAGTGTATAGATTATGTTAAAATATAAAGGCCAGTGATGCTTTTAATTCAATTTTCTAGCTTGGGCTTAAGAAAACTGTCTCTTCTGATTCTGCCTTGATGGATTCTTTTCAATTAATTCTATTGGGAAGATAAACATAAATCTGTTTGTTTAGAAAGAAATTCTTATTACTACATGCAGTACAAAATAATAGGTCAGAGATGGTGAGGTAAGAGTACTTTTGTTTCTATATTGATTTAGTACTGAAACCTGAAATCTATTTTTTTTTACAATTCAGGAAAACATCTCATCTGAAATATATAAAAGTCTTTTGAAAATGTTCTGGATAATAAACGTGCATAAGAACATTTAGCAGTAAAAGAATGAGAAAAGATAACAGGACACATTCTAACAAGATTTAAAACCTAGTTTTATGCATATTTCTAAACAGTAAAAAGCTTCTTAACATAAATTTATCAGAACACCACAGAGATCAACAGTTTCCTTTAGTCAAGCCATTATGACATTCTACAATGAAATGTTTTAAGGAATCTAATTGAAATTAGT